TATAACTAAAATATAATATTTTATATTATATTTATTAAAATATATTAGAATGTATTTATAAAATATATAAAATATATAATTTTATATTATATTTACTAAAATATAATATAATTTAAATTATAATATTTTATAATATTTTATTATATTTACTAAAATATAATATTTTATCAAAAAAACGAGCTCAGATCGGAATTTCTTCTTGAAATTGACTGTTCAAAATTTAAGTGGACGCGGTGTGATATTCGGCGGTGGTAACACGCGTATGTTTACTTAATGCAGCGCATCTCGCGGCGCGAGAGTGAACGACTCTTGTGTCTGGCGACGACAACCAGCTTTTGCATCTCGTCCTTATTTCCCTCTCTTCTCACCTGTGCTATTTGTCTCGGAGCGTTCGCAGTGGTGCAACTCGGCGAATCATTCGACTCGCGCGAATGTTCTCGCCGAATGTTACAGGCTGGGTGTCGGTGGAAGTTCTCAGCGTGTCGGAAGACGAAACTGACTGAAGATACTTCAACTTCCTATAGTTTTCATTCCCTTTTATCGCAGATTAATCAGGGGGTGCAAGTCTATCTCCGACGCAAATATTTCCTGCAAAAGTGTCACGTTGAGAGAAGTACGATCAAACATTTTCTTCCAGAAAGTTTCTGTTCGTGGAATATCTTTATCTAAAATATCGTCTGTTGCGTATCATCTGAACGATATCGAAGTCTTCGAGGATGGAATTTTCTTAAAAAATTGAGAAAAAGATATCAAATGGAATATTGGAAAGATGGTGCTTTAATAATTGAAAAGTCTTCGCGAGATCGTCGCAGGAAATAGCTGCGATTCTGTTTATATCAATGTTGAAATTGGCTCGAAAGCTTGGAGCTTCCTTTCGCTTCAATAACCTCGTAAGCTCCATTAATTTTTACTAATGCATTCGATGTCTAATGATGCGAGAGGAGAAGAACTCTGCCGCGATTTTTTTTCACCGTGCACTTTGGCTCGAGAATAATTTCTTTTTATTCAGATTCTTCGTTTTTTATTCTGATTCCTCGATCTGTTATCTCATCTCGTTCGTTCAACGCCCACAAACGATAAGAGAGTAATGCCAATTTTCTGAACGTCGAAATCAATTTCGCGTGCTGGACGATCCATCGAATCCGCTGGAATTAAATTTAACACTGTTTAGGAATTAACACTTATTTTTACAATTTTACAATTTTACAGTTGCCAATTTACAAAATTCACAATTTCTTACAATTACCAATTTACAGTTTACAAAATTCACAATTTCTTACAATTACCAATTTACAATTTACAAAATTTACAATTTTTTCCAATTACCAATTTACAATTTATAAAATTCACAATTTTTTCCAATTACCAATTTACAATTTTTGTTGCAATTTGGGAATTTTATAAACCGAAAACAATGTACTTTCAAAAGTTTAAATGATTTCTCGAAAAGTGTGTGATTTGATAAAAGATGTATAATTTGTTGTGTTACAAAGCTTTTCCATTTTTTTCTACACTAACGTTTCTGATGCAAAATTCTCGCGCTGGATAATTCTAGCGTTGAAGAAAGAACTTGGAATATATCTTGGCCATATCTTTGGTACAAAATTTCATAAAAGTCAAGAGATATCATCGTTACTGATACATCAGTTGCGTTAAATTTGTTACAAAAAGCACTTGCTTGCAAAAATCATATTTGCAATAACGTAAAATATCAGTCAAAGAAGTTATCATATCAAAGATGTCTCGAGACGCAGGGGATGACAAGTATCGAGAGAAGTAAAGCAGAGAAACGAGCAAGGGAAATAGGAGCGTGCGTGGTCAGACATGCTTGGAATACCTTCCACGCAACCGATCGCTTTACCTTGCCATTGCAAATGTAACCGTGACACGCTTGCGAGTCGATAAACGTAATATCTCAACCGATTTATCAAACAGCGCCAGCGTACGGAAGAAGTACTGACATTTTATTAATATCGACTCGTCCTGTATAAATATTAATTAATCAATTAATAAATCAGGTTTCACAGAGGTGTAATTATAACAAACGATGCCGATTTTATCGGGAGAGAATTTTTCAAACGTGCGACCGTGCGATAATTCCGTGACGTGAAATCGTGACTGAAATTGCATCCCTCCCGTTCGCAAATGGCCCATTATCGCACGAAATTCAATGGATACTGTTCAATGAAATAACGCTCGACGTGATGAAATTGTTCGACGACAGTCGAAACGAAATACGAGCGAGCGCGGCGGGGGAGGGGGTGGGAGTAACATTTTTCCCGCAATTTTTCGAAGCGAGAAACGAAAGAATACATCACGTCACCGTGTCTAGAATTTTAATAGCTTTTCGCGGGGACGGTGAAATGATTGGAGCGATTAATCGTTATCTGATAATCGTGTATCTTGCGAGACGTCGCGGTTGACGTGGCACTCTTTTCACGCATTATTTTCTTTTTACTTTTTTGCTCTTCTACCAATTAGGTTTCACTTAATTTTGTTGTATGTAAATTTTTTTTTTTCCAAATTCCAAATTTTTATGGAGAAATATCTCGTGATAAGATTAATCAATTAGGCTCATTAGGCTCCAAAATTAATTTACATGTTACATATATGTGTTTTATATTTTAGTTAATTAATTTTACATTATATTTATTTATATTTTATGTTAATTAATTTTACATTATATTTATTTATATTTTATGTTAATTAATTTTATATTATATTTATTTATATTTCAATTATATTATTTTATATTATAGTTATTTATATTTCAATTATATTATTTTATATTATGTATATATATTTTTTTTTAAATTTCAAACCTTTACGGAGAAATATCTCCGTGAGAAGAGTGTTACGATTTTTAATTGAATAACGTGTTGTTGCATTCATCGCTTAAAAAAATATCTCGCTGTATACATTTGCGACATACACGCGTTTTGAACGAACACCAGAATTTGATTGAAAAATTGTATTCTCGTTTATAGATGGTTCAGCCGACTGAGAGAGAATAACGAAATAGTTCGACCGGAAAACGAGATAAATACGGCGAATGCAATGCATCGAGCGTAACATTGCGAACGCTATTTTTAATTGACTTTCATTAGCCGATGGTAAAGAAGGGATATTTAAAGTCCTGAATAGAATTGCTAATCATTCGGATATAAATTCCACATAGTGAGTCGCGCTAATGGAAATGGAAATTATCGATTTTCCGAGGCCCGACGCTTCAATCGTATTTCGATGTCAAAAAAAAAAAAAAAACAGATTCCAACGAGGAGAAATTTTCATTCCGTTTCGTTTTTCAATGCGTGTTCGTTAGCAAAAAGGCTAAACATCGGCCAAGAAGTGGAATGCATACCAATTATAAAGAATAAAATCGGGGATAAAATATCACGGATATAACACTCCCTCCATGTATACGGAGCGAAGTCGTTCGTTAAAAAAAAAAAAAAAAAAAAATTGCACGATTAAAAGCGGACCGGTTGCTACCGGTTGAATGCAATTGGCGAACCGAAAACAGAATTCTTAATAAAAGAGAGAAGTTTCGAGGTCGGTGAGTGAATTTCTCCAGAAATTCGCCCGTTGAAAGAATTTGAGCAGCTGGCTGACCGATATGGCCCGATTAAACATTCAACGTTTTCGCGGTATAGTGGTTTAACCAGCCAGCCAAGACAAATGTCACGGCCAAGCAGAATATTCATACGACGGGGCACGTTGTGTTTTTATAGCACGCTAGACAAGGGACGGGATGTTACATGTACACGCCTCGAGCCTCATTGGGGATTCCTATTTCAATCAGAAAATACAGTGGCTTCTGGTCGGACGTGTTTCGACTTCGAATCGGCGAGCAGCTTTCGCACGAAAGTATTCGAGCGTTAGGTGGTACATGCTAATGAGAGCTACTGGCCTTCTCCAAATTGCATCAGTTTCATTGACGAAATTAATCTTGATTCGGCGAAGGAAAGCGTAGGATGGAAAATTCATCTTGGAGATACGTTTTTAACACAAAAATTACAAAGTTTTAAAGCGCGTTTTCTATCGTAAAAATGATTGTAGATTCACGGACGTACGAAATTAAATGTAAATGTGAAATATTAGGTTTCGGATGTATGCAAATAAGATTAGATGTTGTTTTTTTAAATTGTTTCCGCGAGATTGATGAATCAATCTTAAATTCACGAAGGCAAGCGTAGATTAGTAGGATAGGAAATTCGCAGAAGAGAACTTGCATCTTGGAGATACATTTTTAATACAAGAATTAATAAGTTTCATAAATGGAAAATATTGGCTATGCAAATAAGATTACTGTCTTTTTTTTTTTTTAATTTCCACGAGTTTGGAAAGTTAGTTCTGGTTAGGAATTAACAGGAAATTCGCAGGAGGTTCTAAAAATACAACATTAATATAAAAATTAAAAAGTTTGTACGTTGCATCAAAAAAATGTGGATTCACGGACGTGCAAAATTAAATGGAAATATTGGGTTTCAGATGCATGCAAATAAGAACTATTTGCGTTTTTCGAATTGTTCCGATCAGTTTGATGAATTAATCTAGAATTCGTGGAAAGTGTAGATTAATAGGATGGGAAATTCGCTTATGGACACATTTTTAATAGAAAAATTGAAAATTTTCTTTTTGCGTGTTGCAAAAATAAAATAGATTCGCGAACGTGTAAAATTGAAATATCTATTGAATTTCAAATATGTGCGAATAAAGCTACTGATTTCTTCAGTTGTTTTTATGAGATAACGAATGAATCTCAGATTCACAAAGAAACGCGTAGATTAATAGGAAAATCATAGGATCTCAGAGGAACTCGCTCTTCTTAGAAGTATTATACAATTTTAATAAGAATTTAAAAGTTTCGCAGAAAGAATCTCTTATCAATTAAAAAAAAAAAAAAAAATAATAATAATAATAATAATAGAAAATATCCAAAGTAGATCCCGGCTTGAGATCCCAATTAATAGGAATTTTGTTAAAGGATAGTTGTTTATTTTAGGTTAAATAAAAGAAAGTTGGTTCAATAATGATTATAAAGTGACGGTTAACACTATTTCCTTAATTACTAAACTCGCGACTCACAATTCACTCTCTTCTCTCTTTCGCGCAACTCTCAGCTCACTGTCTTTTCTCTTTCTCACTCTCCTCTCTGGCTTCTCAATACTCACAGTCTGGCTTCTCGACATTCACTGCCTTCTTCATCTGCCCAAAGATTCGTTATTCATCCATACATACAAACGCATCCATACCTTAGTGTCTTAAACGCTAGGCCTGAAGTACTCGTCATAAAACGATCCCAAGTCCCAGGCCTAACTTTCTCTACAGTTTATGGCACTTGGTACATCTGGTTGCAATTGGTGGGCACTGAGGAAAGTTCTGGGCCCTTTCCCAGAATTTGCCCATCCCACGGTAGAATATTTGAAAAGCGAATCTACGCGAGAGAAACTCGCGCCTTATTTTCGGATAATTCGATGAAGAGCGGCTATCGCGGAACAGCGATTAATCGCGCGAACAATTACCAGAGAAACGTCGCAAAGCCGCAGCGGACAGTGAATTGAAAGTAAATCGAACGCGGCTACGAAACTCCTGGTTGCCTCTGGCTCCTGGTTGTAATCGATATTGAATCCGCTCGGACACACCACTCTCGCTAACGACGTAACGAACGAAAGAGGCTGCAATTCGACGATCGATGGGGTTTTGATCAGCATTCGGTCGGAATTATTTTATTCGCGCAGGGGACGCGTCTCGCCTTCCTATCTTTTTCTTTCGTTTCCAGTCGGTAATTGCTCGAGCGCACGCCATCCTGCTGTCTCGTTCGAGTAGAAGCGATCGTTCGAGCTTCGATCTCGGAGAATTTGGTGGATTTTGACAGCTCGGAGTTGTCGAACGGTTGTTAAGATTTTCAAGGTTCTCCAACTAGCTTTCCAACTCTGGACTTTTAATCCTTTTAAGGTCTTTGAAAACTTCTTCTCTGGCTTTGTCATAAGGAGTCGGGGATCAACGTTGCGATAATGCAACAGTTTCGTGTTTTGAATTTCTTCCTCGGTTAATTTGCTCTCAGGAACTCCGAATTCGAGTTTAATGTGTAATCTGAAATTTGAAAACAAGAAGTGATTTCTTTCTTCGAATAAATGGATACTTTAGTTATAATATTTTCTGTTTAGAGCAGTGATACTTTAATTGTTTGAATTTAAAAATCTAAGTTGTGTAATTGTAATATTTATAATAGAAGATCACAATCTATATCCTAGACATTAATTTCTTTCCAATTTAATTTAACAATGGTGCAAATTACTATAAAAAATTCCGAGTCCCCGGTTGTTCGAGATGATTGAAATTCAGATACAGATTCAAGTGCAAATCGAAAATGAAATTGGAAAAGTTCGAAAAAATCAAATCATCTTGAAATAAATCCGCTCGATCGAATGACAGAATATCAGAGAGTTTTCAACAGTCGCGTGCAGTTTAGAGATTCATCGCTCAATCGGTCGAAGACTGACAGAAAAATTGATTCGTGCGAGACGAAGCCGTGTTCCGAATGCCGGAAAATCGAGCGCGGCGGACACGTGCTTGTTACCTTCTCTCTTGCCAAGTACAATTAACGGTTAACTCTGGCCATCTTGCACTCCACGCACGTCTGGAAATAACTTCATAAAGCGTTTCATCCACTCTCTGCCGCTTCCTTGTCTATTCTATATCTTCTCGAGATTATCCACTCGTACTTTCACTTCTACCACTTTTCTTTAAATACAAAATTTCATTATTTAAAATTCGAAACATTTCGAAATATTTCCAAAGTGTTGATTTCCAAAATTTGCACAAGCACCAAATTATTCGTAAATTCGCCTGTAACGACAAACAGTACGAAAAGATCAAATCTTTGTATCTCTGACTGAAAGTATCAATTTCAGTTTCACGTTTTCTTACGTATCCATCAAACTCGTCGCGGGAGTAACTCAGCGGAATTGGAATCAGCAGTTAATGTTTCTCGTAGCTTCCTCTTCCCTTTTACATTTCCTCGGCAAGCGATCTTCGAAGCGGTTCCGAGCCGGACGGACGTTACACCGCATCGGAAATAAAAATCGACCGTTCGCGCGGAATACACGCGCCCCGTTAGAAGTCAGCTCGCGTGTTTCCTAAAGTAAAAAATAACCGCACATTTCATGGTACATTACTCGTGGATACGTGTTTCTGGTGTGTATCCAAACTTTTGATCGATAGTATATGCACGCCTCCTTTCACCATTCCCTCACCCTCCGTTTCCCCCAGCAATCAGCTATTTATTTACTCACCCTTCCGCCGTCGAACGTTCTACCTCTCGTTTCGAGAAACGAAGCTCCAGCTTGCGTCTGACGACGGGACCGAAACCTAAAATCCAAAGCAGAGATCGTTAATGGATTGCCGCGAGAACGTTTTGGAAGAAAGGAATTTTCATAGGTTGCTTCAAACTGATCTTGAGGGTTGAAGTTTGAACTTCAAGTAACCGACGTAGCAAGAATTTGAGATCAAGGACAATAACGATCAAACTTGGAGTGTTTATTAATGTAATTGTAGAGTTTAAATGAAAATTCGTTTCATTTATTAAGAGTGATCGGTATTACTTCGAATATTATTATTATTATAATAAGGAAGGATGCCAAGATTAGATTCCAACTTTTGACGGTCACCGAAACAGAATACTTTCCAGACTTTTTCCTCAAGTAACAAAATTACAATTAATTATATTATATTTACTAATTACGATATTCGTTACTTCTCAAAAAATCCTACGAAAAAAATTCATCTCGTCACTTGACGCGCGATCCACGATAGAATCTAAACGACAAAGATACAAATAAAAAAAGCGTCGTCAAATTTGTCGCAGCGAATCGACGAATCATTTGGAAATCGCGTTTTTAATCGTCGGAGGATGACTGAGATCGGACGATAAAACTATCTCCCGAAAGCCGGGGGAAACTTACGACGGCCGGGTTTTAAAAGTTGCTCGACGCTCGATTTAACTTCCGGTTCATAACTCGCAGTATTTTTCACCGGGGTGGGAAGGGAAACGGCCGCTGGGATCGGCGCGCGCAACGACTTCATCCGCGTGTTACTTTAATTCGTTGTTGTTCCGTTGCTCGTTGAACGCGCGAGCGTCTCGCATGAATTACAATCAGGCCGGGCGGAGGGACGCGCGAGGGTTGGACCGACACTTAATAACAATTACCGTAAAAATTACGACAAGTCGAGGTTCGGCGCGCCATTTTTGCAACTCCTTCCCCCCCTCTTACTCGCGTTCTTCGTCCGGCTATTACCTCTGCCCACCCCTTCATCCTCATCCCTTTTTCTCCCATTCCTCCTCTCCTCTCTCTCTCTCTCTTCCCCTTTATTTCCTTTCGCGCTAGCAACCACTATAGCCGCGGAATTTCTCTTCCTCTTCCTCCCCGCTAATCTCCTCTCTTTCTTCCGTTTTTAATTATGATTTATCACGGGCGCGTGCACGCTCGTAAAATCCTCCTTACAACCCGGTTCTCGCGGGGTCGCGAGTGTTTCGCGTTGCCTTCTCGCGCAATTAGACCGTCTAATTAAAACAATTTCGCCCGGGCGAGTATCGAGGGGAGGGGGGTGGGGCGAGGGTTGGTGTTTGAAAGTCGCGCGAAACCGTTCCGCGAGGAATTTTTTCTCTCGGAGGAATGAGGTTGGGGGGGAGGGTAGTGGAGGTGGATTAACAATGTTATCGATAAATGAATAATTCATAGGTGGAAAAAAGCTTTCAAAGATACGTTTCGCCGTGATGGTAATAAGACATCTTTCGATTCGAGGGATCGTTAAAGCGAGCACCGGGATCCTCCGGCTGTCCATTTAGACATGAATAAATTAGTTTAAAGTTAAGAGCGTTGTGACAGTGAAAAAGGAAGGGAAAGAAACGAGGCGCCGTTCATTTTTCAGAGCTACGCTGAAAGACCGACGGCTACTCCCCGTGTCGGTGCCACTAATATCCGCCATCCTCTTATTTCCTTAGGGAAATCGCTGCTGGTAAAACAGTAACAAATTAGAGAACGCTAAATATCCAATTTTCCCGGATCTTGTATCCCGTCTTGTTACACGTCGTGTCGCGGATGGCGAGTACGAAAGCGAATGTGAGTTGCACGAGTTACACGTGCGATCGGAGAAGATTTTTAACATTTGGAGGAACATCAGCCATTTTAGCGGCTCGTACTCTTTTACGTTCTACATCGATAAAACGAGTAAATAGTAGATGCGTGTAAATTTTGATTTTTTTTAAAAGAACCACGACTTTTGTGAGAAGGTCCTCTAAAGGATATATTACCAGGCAACTGGCCACTATTTCGAAGGAACTTTCTCTAAAATTTTCTTTTACCTGCAAAGTTATCGTCCCGTAGGATCCTCCGTCTCTTTCTCAGAAACATAACGCGCTAAGAACGTGACAAAGGAACGGGCACGATGGACTTGGAATCTTCTCTGCGCGAGATACTCGAAATAAAGGGTCTCGCGAGTTATTATATACCCAACACAACGTTCGTTCATTCACAATATCGATGGTATCGTGGTATATTTCTCGAACTCGGACAAGTGACCGGAAGCAACTCGTTACTTCGACGCCATCTCTTCTCGTGTCGGGACAGAAATGAATCATTGAGTGTAGCGCGCGAAATTACATTGTACAACGTAATTTCTCGAATCAATGTCGACACTCGATAATGAGAGAAGGAGATCGAATCGACGGCACTCAATGTTCATCATTTGAATTCACCGCCGTCTCCTCCGAGTCTCCTCGACACACTTACAATGCCGCGCGTTTCAATTAGTCCAGCTCGCGGGAGTGCTTGTTCCCAGAGATTCGGTGTGCTATCGCCTCGGGAAGAAGATAAATTCGAAGAAGGCTTCCCTTCCTATTTTATTCCAAGTATATTCTTCATCCTGCCCATTCTTTCTCTCTCTCTCTCTCTCTCTCTCTCTCTCTCTCTCTCTCCTTCTTTTTCTACTCTCAGCTTCGTTATACCTTCTCAGTATCCCGCCATCTTGCAACTTTATCCTATTCTCCTCTTCCTCTCAATCCATCCCGTTCCCGCGAAACACGCGGTTGTTAAAAATTCGCAGACACCAGTTGCCCGGTGTTCTCGACCCAATCGAGGAGAAAGGTAGTCGCCGGAAATTTATCGAGCCGCAGCCTCGCGAATTTATCGCGTCCGTGATCGCGCGACACGGCCGGCCCTATTTTCCCTTCGTCGTCCGGAACCCTTGCGTTTTCTGGCAGATTTAGCCCGGACCGGTTCACCAACCGAGGGAAAAATAATGAGTCTGCGGACTCCTGAGGGGGGGGGGGGAGGGAGAAGGAGGAAGAATCTCTTCGCCCACGCGAAAAGGGGCAAGTCCTGCGAGGGAAACGATTCGTGCGAGCCGAGCATTAATCCACGCTCCTCGCAGTCCGTGTTTCGATTCTGGTTCGGCTAATGGCGACCCATGGTGTTTCTACGCACCCGACAATTAATGAAACATTTCTTTCGGATTACTTTTACGTTTTACGTTCCTCTCGTAAATGTTTTATTCTCATCACTCTTTGTCCTTTCGGCCTTTCAACTAGAGACACGAGCCATCTCGCACATCTCCGTGCTACTTCTGTTAATTCAACGACGTTGCACACAACCGGTTGAATTATTCAGCCTTCAATCTTTGTTCGCCACGCGCCACGCTAGACTTTCATACGTTAATTATGACGTTTTTGGCCAGAGCTACGGTAACTTTATTTCAACTTGTCTAATTAACGTGTTGCTACTCGCTCAAACGCTCCTACTTCCGTCTATCTACGCATTAACGAAGAGTCGACTATGCGGCCGACTAATTATGCGGCCTCTCTTCTTTTTTTCCACGCGAGAGCGGGACCTTTGTTACAGCTACTTTTACATGCATCTCCGCTACAACTTTAGCATTAATTACTCTGTCTTGCGAAAGTTGTTCCATAGCGTTTAACTACAGTGTTTCTGTCCGCTCGATTCCTTTCTCTCTCTTTCACTTTCTCTCTCCTACTTTTTGGTTGCTACATAGTATCTTCGTCGTACGAATCGCTCTATTCCTGCTTGTCTGACTGTCGCCTGATTTGGTTTCACTACTAACCGACCTACTTCGCTCTGACTTTGCGTTCGACCAGACAGCATCCAATTCTACTTACATCGAGTTACGCTTCCAGTTCATTTCCTTCGTCAGCCTGACGCGGCTCGATGGTTTAATTGGACATTGTGTCGCGATAAATCGAAAACTCGCTGAAAATCCACGGTGCGTGTTCGCAAAGACGAGTTTTACCTGTCACCTTTCGGCTCGTTTCCAAGTGCCTTAAATTTTGGTGAAAACAAAACGTTAATCCGCTTGCCTCACGACTTGGATTTTGTGACTTAAAATACACGTCCACAAGTATTGTAATTAAATCACGATTTAGATGTTTACTGTTCTGTATTGATACTAACTAATTACGATGACAGAATACAAGACAGGGTAGATAAAATTATGTATAGAGAGCTCATAATCCAATTAGTGCAGATTTGTGCTGAGAGTAACTAAAATTATTAAAACTGTGATCGAAATAACACTGCTGTTTAAATTACAACTAAACTGTTCCACCGATTGTACGATGCAAGCAGCTTCAAATGAGGAAACCACTTGCACTAATTGACTTTCGAGCCTAATAAATATGATTCCTAATCGCTGCTCGCGAATTATCCCACGCTCCATTTTATAATTTACTCGCGGAATATCAATGGGCTAATGCACTTATCTAGGAATTTTTGGAGGCATTTCTATCTCACTGTGGGTTTCAAAGGATCGTGAGAATTTTAAAAAATAACTACTCCCACGTAGTAAAGATCACGTAGAGATTTTGAACGCGACGATTGCTCTTCCGATTTTTAATCAACAAAGAGCATATATAAGAAACGTCAACTGAGAGGATCGGAAAATTATAAATGAAATTCGAGAACTCACGTCCCTCGAACCGTCGCTTCCAATATCAGCGGACCAGCAGAGTCGTAACGCGCACGCGGCGGCCAATAATATTCAAATAAAACGACGCCTAGATCGGCTGCGGCGTCAATTTCACCGTCGCCGAGGCGAAAGAAAAATTACCGACAAATGTCGCGGCCGAGAGTCACGATGTTTCTTCTCCCTATTTACGAGCGTCGGTTTGTCAAGGAGACGCGTCGTTTCGGCTCGATCCGACAATGCGAAACGCGAAATGTGAAAGTTTCGACACGTTGCTCCGCGAGAACGGAGGGAAGAGGAGGTCCCCAACGTACGTACGTACGCGAAGTATACGAGGAGCGAATCGCGCACCGCGTACCACGTGCACGCGAAGTGTGGCGGAACAACCGGAGGAACAGGTGTAGCTCGGCGC